TGGACACCGTGGGGAGCGACGGCTACCGCCTCTCCGTGAACCGGGCCCTGGCCGCCGACCAGGGCACCTACAGGTGCGTCGTCAGCGAGTGGATCGAAGAGCAGGGGGCCTGGCAAGAAATCCAAGAAAAAGCCGTGGATGTGGCCACCGTGGTGATCCAGCCAACAGGTGAGCTTCTGGGAATGGAGCGTTTAGACTTGATCTTACTTTCTGGCCAGTGATGGTGTAAGAAGTAGATAACACTACGCTGGGTTGTAGCTTAGTCTCATCATGAGAGGAGATGCTATATTTCAGGTAGGAGAATAGAAATTTTTTCTCATTCACCCATCGTGGAATCTGTTTGTGGACCCCAGGTTCCAACCCTGCCCTGGAGTGCTGCTCTTTCTCTCGTTGTCAGCACCTGCACTGTCCATGCGGCTTCTTCCTGCATTGTTGTGCTAAACAGCTCAAGGCTCCTGGGACAGTGGGCTGTGCCACCTGGGCGACCGTGTTCCCCACTGTATGACCACTCCCCTCTTGCGTTATGAGTCCTCAGAACTGCTTCCTTTTGCTTCAGCCTGAATCCTTCCTGTTTCCCACAGGGGACCCCCTCCCCCAATCCCGAACATGTGGGAACGATGGTTAGTGGTGTGACAAGGTACTAGCCACTTGCAGAGACCTTTACACAGAGAGCTGTACAGTTGAAGAGACATTCCTGCCACTGCCCAAACTAAGACCGTTTCCTCCATGCGGACCGCCCGCAGCTGTGCGGACCACTTCTCCACGCAACCGGCTCCCTTCTGAGCCGTCGTCCACCTCCAGCAGCTGGTGGCCGGCACAGGGCTCAGCAGTATCCCAGGGTCTCTGACCACAGTCGTACGTGGGGCGGTGCAAACCACAGCACAGACTCAGGGCAACAGTTTCCATACTGACTCCTCTGAAGACTGACCCCTAGTCTGGCCGGCGTGGCTACCAGGAGGTCACCGTTCAATTCCCAGTCAGGGCACATGCCCGGGTTGTGGGCTCCATCCCCAGTGGGGGGTGTGCAGGAGGCAGCCAATCAATGATTCTCTCTCATTTTTGATGTTTCTGTCTCTCCCTCTTCCTCTCTGAAATCAATAAAAATAGATTTAAAAATAAAATAAAAAGAAAGACATCCTCAAATTACGCTTGGCCCCTATAAAGGGGCCTACCTGGAGAGGAGGAAGACTTTGGAGGGTAGGTGGAGGTGAGAAATGAGATTGAAATTCCTTTTTCTAATTACTATGCCCACCTCATTTTCTGTCTTCATCAAGGTGGGTCTTGAACTTGGCCTGAAACCCTTGTCTGAAATGTTGTCAGGCTTCGGAACTATTCATAGGAAAGCACTTCACTCCAGAGGGCATGCTCTGCGGGGCTGGTCCTGCTGGAACTGGCACCGGCCTCGGTCAGTGAGCCGCCTCCGACTGCAGTTGCAGCTGCGAGGCTCCTGCTAGAGGACCAGGACTGTGCCTG